CCACCATGTGCTCAGTGACAATGATTGCATGCCACATTATCTCTCTATGTGCTGGCCAGCTGGGCACATATAGTATGAGTTTTAGTGTTCTGAACCTTATAAAGAATTACTGAGGTAATTCTAAATATTCCAACAATGCAAAATTATTTCTACCTCCAATATTTTATTTTACATCCAGAAATTTTATATATTATATATGTAAATATATATACATATATATTTAATAACAAGTGTTCAATGTTTGTCTTCAAACTAATCTAGGCTATAGAAGTTTTGTTTTCTCAGAACACTTGGACTAAGTATATATTCAGGTAGTAGTTAGTGAGGGTCAAATATGTACATGCTACTGCACAAAGCTAGTGAGTCCTGTGCGATTCTCCCTTTTGGCTAAGGAGAAAACTCATGCTTAGAGAGGGGAAGGTCTGTTTAAGACTGACAACAACAGATGGCAGAGAGGCCAGGATTCAAAACCAATTCATTGATTCCAGAGTCAGTTTTCTTCCATGACTGCAAGGAACACAATATTTTTCATAGCACAGGATTTGCTAAATATGAGGCAAAATGCTTTGTCAGTTAAAACAATGGAGCATAGCTGAGAATATAATTTTCTTTAAGATTTTATTTATTTATTTGAGAGAGAGAGAGAGAGAGAGAGATCACAAGAAGTGGGGAGGGGAAGAGGGAGAAGCAGACTCCCTGCTGAGCAGTGAGTCCAATGCAGGACTCTAACCCAGGAACCTGGGATCATGACCTGAGCCAGAGGCGGGTGCTTAACGGACTGAGCTGTCCAGGTGCCTGACCATTTTTGATTTTAGAAAAGGAGTCATCCTTGTATTATGAAGTGAGGGGAAGGCCTTTGCATTTTTGGTCTCAGCAGAGAATTAGAATTACTGATTGTGGTTATGACAGACGTCATTGCACTAAAGTGGAAAACAGTGCAAAAGGCTAAAAAAATATTTATTGGCTAACTGTGAATAAGAAGAAAGAAAAGATTTGTAAACAGCTTTAAAAGAAAACACCATTATTTAGACTAGTTAGAGGAAATCTTCTCTGTGTTAATGACCAATATGTGGACTGACTGCCATTCTGTGTCCTGCCAAGGGAAGTCCTCGTAAGGAACAAAGAAGATGATGTAGAGACCAGTGCGCAGCTCAGTCCCCATACCCTCACCTCTACCACAAACACCTCAGCTACGTAGCGTGTACATGGATCTCCAGATCTACTCCAAGTGGTGGGTTATTAGCTCTGTTTAATGATTTCTAGGCTTAGAGTCAGTTCTTATTCTTTATCATTTTGAAATGGAAGTCCCAGGAAGTTCTTCACTGTGTCTAACTTAGTCTGAATGTGGTTATGAATGGTGTGACTAGCGCTCTCCAGCTCATTAAAGCCTTTTCATGCTGCACTGCTGTACAGCAGAGTATAACCTGATTTCAAATCCAAATTGTGCTTTCTAGGTAGGTATCCTTGGGAAAATTACTTAATCTCCCTGAGAATCAAGATTCAAAAAAAAGGATGCCGGTTTTATATGACTATTTTGGAAACAAAATTAGAGAAGATAAACAGACGGATGAGGGGAGAGAGAAAACGAGAACACACCAGGGACCTGATAAGCACTCGGTAAATGCTAGTTTCTTTTCTCTCCCCTTGAAGGAATATCCACAAATCTGAACTATTTTTATTCTCAACAAGTTGCACATTTTGAATGTAATCTCTTTAATGATGAGTTCGCTTCTTCAAATCATAGAATCCTAATCTTGTCAATGTTTTCTGGAATAGAATGCTGTCCCAGCCCTTTGTTAACTCTGGACGTCCTTTCCTCATCCGTTCCACATGTCCGATTTAACATGCAGAATTCAAAACTGATCACGGTCCACAGGAGAATGTGATCAGCGAGTTTTGTGGAATAGTTTTTCTAAACTATGGTACTTTCCAGGAAGAGGAAATCAACAGGAAATCGACTATACCCTATGGAGGGTATAGTCACAAGGCCACACACACCTGCACTGCAGGTGCTGACGGAAGAACATTCTCCAGTGTGACTGGAGAATGTTAGGCTTGGGAGACTATTTCCTCTCACATTTACGTAGCATCTTTGTCTTAAACTTTCTGAGATGCGTATGCCAGAAACGTAAGAGTATTTCTTATTCTGGTCCCGTATTCTTTCCGTCAGAGCTGAGGATAAGCCGCTATGTAGAAAAGGCTTACACTATTATATAACGTGTTTAATGAGCATTTAAGTATAATCTTGGTAATTAAAATACATTTGTTTATATGTACAAATATATATTTACATATATATAAATAAACGCACCAATGATGCAAACTTAATGATTTGGATTGCTTCCACAAGTGATTATTACCTGTGCTAGAGGAATATGTCTCTCCAAAGTACAATGAAGACAGGATCTCTGACTGTTTTAATGAATCCTTATTTAATATAAATGCAAAATTCTCTTACCTGATAAATTAAGTATGTTATGTATAACACCACCACCAATGAACGTTATACTATACTACAGCAAAACATACATATAATGCCAGTACTATTATAAAAAATAATATATATAACTTTCATTTTTGAGAAAAACTCTGTAAGGAAATACTAAGTATGTACATTTTACAGATGAGGAAATTGAGGCATATAAAAACAAACAAACAAACAAACAAACAAAAAACATACAAAAAAACCCCAAGCAACTTGTTGTCACACAGCTAGTAAGTTCCTGAGTCCTGATTTAAACTCAGGGAGTCTGGTTATGACCCAGAATCTAGACCACCTTAAATACTACCTCAGAACCAAATGCTGTGACGTATCTACTGGGAACTTCCTATGCCTTTGTTGTTTTATGGACTAGAACAAATGTTAACAATGAAGATACTGTCCTGTTGAGAAAAATGTTACTTAATTCTCCAGAGCTGAATTCATATTTAGCCTACCATTCCCACTTCTTTGTTTTTGTTTATTTGCTTACTAGAGGAGCTAAAGTGGTCTGATGTTCTTTACCATTACAAACAGAAGAGGAGGACTACCAGGGGAAGGTATCCTTTTGTGGGGAGTGCAGTGCCCATGGAGAGGCCACATTCCTTTTGCTCACTTTCCTATGGGTTTGGGGACATGCAAGGAGTTTCCTTAGCTGAGGGCAAGAAAGGGCATTCCATGAAAAGTATTTATAATATAATATTTATGCTCTTCCGTGAAGTAAAGACTAGCATCTCTTCCAAGTGGATATCCATCTAGCAATGGAGTTTGCTGCTTTGCCCTGTTCCTCTCCAGGATGGAAAAGAACCATGGGGAGAGGAGATGAGAAGGTCAGCCAGGGGCAAAAGAGGTAAGGACTGTCCTTGGCAAGCTCCACCCGAGGGGAAGGAAAGATGGCTGCCCCTCGGCCTGCGAGTCTCAGGTTTGAAATTGCTGAGGACAGATGAGAAATGGGGACTCCAGGCATGGGAGGGATGACTATGGTTCAAGCAGTGGTGAGTGCATGGGAAGGCACATTTTTGTGCTATTGCTAGGGGTTCTGTGGAAACGATAGCTTGGTCTCCCAGGGGATCACTCGGCTGGAGGAGCTGTGGGAGTCTCTTGACATTGGTGCATGTTTGGTTATTCACCCATTCAGGCTACATCACCAGAGATAACCAAGAGAAAGGGAACAGCCACAGTAGAATGGGGAGGAAATACCACTTCTTGTTTCCTTTTTTTTGCCCCAATACTACCAGAGGAGAAATCTAAGAGAAAGAAACATCTAGAAGGATGGTATGAGAGACAGAGTGGACCATACCCCTGTCGACTCCAGAACGCTCTGGTGGAACCCAAGTCCTAATTATGTTAGAAGGAGGGACAGAGGTCTGAATAAAACATAATATTTTAAAATAGAAAGGACTAATAAATAATAAAGTTAGAGATTTGAATTGAAATGCCATTAAGGAAGTCTACGCGTCATTGAGAAATAGGGTTGAAACAAAATTGGTAACAGATACTGGAGAAGTAACATGACTTAATTTTTATACATTAATCAACTAAATGTTCTCAATTAAACCAGCTATAATTATAAAACAAGTGGAGGGAAATACTAACCCCTTCCCCACAGCCCCTCCAGCTTTTATCTGATTGGGGAATTCAGAAATACAAAATACTAAGTCCTCTAAAATGTAAGCCTGCCCAGCCAACAACTCCATTCTCTCTCTGTTTTTTTTCTTTTTAAAAATTTATTCATTTATTTTAGAGAGAGAGAGAGAGTTCGAGAGACCGTGTGAGCAGGGGTAGTGTCAGAGGGAGAGGGAGAGAGATACTCTCCAAAAGACTCCTCGCTCAACGCAGAGCCTGACCCAGGGCTGGATCTCATAAACCCAGAGACCTGAACTGAACTGAAATTAAGAGCTGGACACTTGATTTACTGAGCCACCCAGGCACCCCCAACATCTCCATTCTTCTCTCCTGCCCCACTGCTTCACACACCCTAGGCCAATCTCTGAATCACCTAAAGGCTTTATGCCACCTCATGCTTGCTCATGTGTTCATGTTTTCCATGCGCCCTTTCTTCTGCTCAGAGAACCCTTCCTTCCAGTGTCTGTTGGGCAAATACCCACAGGGGCTTCAGTTCTCAGCTTGACAGTTATGCCTTCTCTGAAACCATCCTGACCTGCTTCCTCCTCCTTCTTTGATGCCCATTCTCAGCTAGATGGCCTTCCTGGATCTTCCATTAATTCCTTACATGCATCTCCTTTGTGATGCTTACACTGGATGCAAATATGTGTCTGTATTTCTGCCATTCCCAGTAGGCAAGGAGCCCTCTGAAGGGAAAGAAGAGATCTTATTTGACTTGTTAAATGTAGCACCTAGCACAGTGCTTGGCATATAATATAAGCTTGATAGATATTTGCCAACAGAAGGAACGAAGAAAGGAAAGAAGGGAAGGAAGGAAGGCAGAGAATTTCTTTATGTCCTAGAGATGAGGCTGCAGTTTAGTTTAAGAGAAGGTTCCATATTATTCTTATCTTACCCTTCCAGGGAGATGGCCCGCTGGAGAGTCACTGAAGGCTGGCGGGTTGCAGTGCTGTGTTGAGAATGACTGCAACAAAAGAAAGAAAAGACAAACACAGATCTTTTATTTAAAATGTCTTTGCACATTCTAATCAGTCCTATTGTCAAGAAAAGAACCAATCTTGAAAGAAATACGGTGGAGATTAAATGTTCTTTGATAACAAGTAGAATCATCCACCAAAATCTGGTACTATACCAGGTAAGGGGTTAATATTTCCTTATAACTTGGTTTCAGCATGTATTATTCAAAAGTAACCTTGAAATGACAGAAGGACATGAAAAGAAACAAAAGTATTTGGAAGAGGTAATTTTCATATTTCATTATGATGCAGTGTATTACTTTTTAAATGAAGAATATTTTTATAACACTTTTTAAAACAGTGGATTTGAAAACTTAAGTATTTAATTAGTATAAGTTTTCATATTAGTTCACACTTGCAACACTTACTTGTAAAATTAATAACAATTCAGCTGTTGGGTGAACACAAAAACTCAAAAAATGAGACCTCTGGTTGCACGCCAATCTTAGAATTATTTTTTAAGGCTTTATTATTTATTTATTTATTTATTTATTTATTTGACAGAGAGAGAGAGAAAGAGAGATAGTGGGAGGGGCAGAGGGAGAAGCAGACTCCCTGCTGAGCAGGGAGACCGATGCAGGGCTTGATCCCAGGACCCTGGGATCATGATATGAGCCGAAAGCAGACGCTTAACTGACTGAGCCACCCAGGCATCCTGCCAATCTTAGAATTTAATGATATCTATATTTTGTTTTGGTTGCATGGTAATAAGACTGATTTCATAGATAACCAGTTGCAATAAAAATTATAATGTTTATCATTCATTGAGCTCTCATATAGCCTGAATCCCTTATCTAAATTTATTTGTTTACTTCTCTCAACCCTATGAGGTATACACCGTCCCATTAACAGGTGAAGAAACTAAGGTATGGAGAGGTTTAGAGACTTATCCTGAGTCATGTGGTAAATACTTGTCCTTGAGATAGCATCTAGACCCTCTGATTCTAGAGCCACTACTCTTAACCATCCTGTTATATCGTCTCTCAAAAGGTGGCAAGTTTTCAGATTTGTAAGAACGTGTTTTGCAATCTCAGAATACTCTTCAATCAGAGATAAAATTTCATTAGATATATACAAGAACAATCTAACCCTAAAAAGTAATGTTTTGTGGATTTCCTATGTGTTCAAATGTATCATAAAATATATGTAATTTTATTAATAAAATTTTATTAATTTCAGTGTGTAATTTTAGTTTGTAGTATTTAGTATCTTAGTTGTAATATTAGTTACATATATATATATATACACACACACACACACATATACATATATATGTATATATAGGCTATGAAGCTGTATATATACAAATATATGAATAAAGAGAAACCTGAGTCAGATGTTTACAGAACATTAGACACCTTCACACAACTCCACAATTTCTCAGCACATACTTCGGAAAACAATGACATTGTCACAGAGTCAAGAAGTAGGCTCCAGATTTTCATCCAGAACTCCAATCTTTATGGGCGAGAAGTGGTATCTCTCTTAATTGCATTTAGTTGTGACATGGATGACATTTATCTGAGGTTGAGGGAGCAGAATTTGGGCACCGTAGCTAAAAACTAGAGAACGTTGATCAAGTTAAGGATGGTGCCCTATGTTTCCCGGCATCCTTTATAGTGGCGAGCACTATATATGTTCCCTGAACATGGTTTGGTTGACAGTCGGAAAGCAGCGTAGCGTTCAGGAGCTGGTCCATGTAACCAGATGCCTAAGTTAAAATCCCAGCTCCACCACACGGACTAATGTGACCTCACTCAAGTGATCTACAGCTCTCTGCGGATCAGTTTCTCACCTGTGAGATCAGGATAGTAACAGTACTTTCTTCCTGGGATTGTTATAAGGATTCAGTGAATATAATGTTTAAAACAGTGTCTGTTAACATGGTAAAAGCTACATTAAGTTTTTGTTAATAAACTAATATGATTTAGCAGAATGTGTATTTTAACATATTTAGCACTGAATAAGAATTACTCAGATCATTTCTTTTATTTATATAGTCAATGCCACAAGATGTGTATTTGTGAGTATAATATAAATTTGGCGATCAATATCAGATTAAAATGTATTTTCTATTGTAAAAATATTACAAAATAATGAAAATCAAAATAAGAGAAAGTTAAAAAAGATCACATATAATCCCATTACCTTGTCTCAGATATCACAGAATTATCTAATTTTAATTATTGTAGCTGTCCTGTAGGCATGTACGAGTAGCCACATTTTATATATAAAAAATACAAAACACACAAAACCTAAATGACTTATTAGAAATCAACAGCTTGCAAATATGGAACTAGAACTCAAACTAAAGCCTATCTTGTTGCCAATGTGTGTACTTTCCATGCTATGCTATTGACTCTATGTCCACATGTCCGTCATACAGTTTTATACATACACAGACCATATATAGCTTTATATCCCACATTTGCTCATTATAATTTAAGCATTTTTATAGGGTCTCCATAATTATTATTTTGGTGTTATATAATGTTACTTCCTCTGAGATCTATTTTATTTAACTATTCTTTGTGGTTAGATATTTGGGTTAATACTACTGTTTTAATATTACAAACATGCTGCATGAACATATTGATATCAATTACTTTTTCTTTTTTTTTTTTTTTTTTTAAGATTTTATTTATTTATTTGAAACAGAGAGGGAGAGATCACAAGTAGGCAGAGAGCCAGGCATAGAGAGAGAGAGGAGAAAGCAGGCTCCCTGCTGAGCAGAGAGCCCGACGCGGGCCTCGATCCCAGGACCCTGAGATCATGACCTGAGCCGAAGGCAGAGGCTTTAACCCACTGAGCCACCCAGGCGCCCTCAATTACTTTTTCTTATTTGACAATCTCCTTTGACTATGTTCCCCAAATGGAAACATTCACCAGGTTCTTCATTTATGTTATTAATTACTTTTTAAAAGCTTTGTATCATTTTATTGCCTCTACTATATATATATATTCCATGTAATATATTTTTAAATATACATATATATATACACATACACATACCAATTTCACCACAATCTTATAGACACTAACAGTATAATTTAAAAAATTGATAATAGGTACAAAATGATACTTCCAATTTATAAGTATTTCCTCATTAGCGAAAATGACCATTTTTTTCTATATGCTTACTTGCTAATTGTATTTTTTGTTTAAACTGTTTAATTCTTTCTGTTACCATCTATATGGCACTGGTTTAGAAAGTACCAACAGTCTTTTTTGGGTAAAGATCAATGATTCCTGTTAACCAAGACGAATGAGTAGCTGGAATTCCTGATTGCCTCCTCACCTCTAGCTTAGCCCATACAATTAAAACAAAGAAATATTCAGCAATCTCTCTTTACTTATCACTACTTTAAACTAATTATTATTCTACCCGACATTATTCCAGTAATGTCCCTCTTAAGGTTTTAGTGACACTTAAATGTGGGAGACACCGTGAAGTGCTCACAGAATATGACTCCTTGTATATTATACGTGCAAAGTCAGCCAGTTTCTCCTGGTGTGTAAATTTTGAAGAAACAGAGCCTTTTACAGCATGTAATGACCCTCTTACTTTACTAAGACAAATACAGTGAAGTACTGGATAGTCAAGACCTACAGACACAAGGGGATTTTTGTTCTTCCCTGATAGTAATGTGTAAGCAGGACTTGAAGGGGGGACACTTGCAGCGGGTATTAGGAGCTACCAGATGGTGATAATAACTTGTATTTTTTAAGAACACCGAACATCTTCCACCTGGAACCGAGCAGGCCCATGCATTCCATATTATTGACTGCATAGACGGTGTGCAGCTAGTTGCACCATGACGAACAGATTACAGGTAACCACTGCTTGGCCCTTTCAGCTCCGCATGCACAGACCAGTCAGATGGAATTCTGAGAACTGTGGGAAGCAGCAGCATGGGAGGAAGGCTCCGCTAAAACGTCAAGCTTTTAACATTGCAGAGCCAAGTGCTCAGAATATCCTTGTCTTAAAAAAGAACTCTTATCAAAAATGGCCATCATTCTCCTCCTATCATTTTTCTAAGACACAATTGAATCTATTCTGTAAAGCATTCTAGGATATGCCCTCCACCACCCCAGCGCTGCTGACATGCTGCTCTGTGCAGCACTATCCCATGTCTTCCACACATCCAAAATAGCACCCAAGACTGAGAATCACCACCATTCATTTACATGCCTATTGTTCTTATTGTCGTTTTTTTCCCACTAAGTGACGCCTGTTTTCAGAGCAAGGAGTGCGGCTTATCCATTTGGACATTCTCAGCTCAGGGCTGACCACAGAACATGTTTCATAAATGCCCTTTTGAAGCATGAAAACCATGGTCTGAGTTCTAACTATCTGCAAGGCCCTATGCCCCATCTCTTTTAAACTTTGTGACAACATCGAGAGCGAACCATTATGCCCATTTTTGAAGGAAATTAAGGACCAAGGTCTCACAGCTAGTAGGTAGCAAGAGTAGGACCCATGTTTGCTGGCTCTAAAGTACTTGTTCCTCCAAGACAAATCATGTTGCCTTACAGAAAAGTGAAAGCAAAGCTCTGTGATTAGTTCAGATAGAGGATCCCAAACATTTTGTTAGGAAATGCTGAATCTGACAGTTTTGTTTTGCATAAAACAGCACCCATTATATTCACCATATCTGTCCAACTTGCATGTCAGTGGCTTCTGAAGGTCATTTTTTTTTAAATGAAGGTAATTTAAAAGAGGGCCTTCTCTCTCCTACCCACACCACCTTAATAACGAGCCCTGGACACATATGAGCATTTGAGTGACGGTGAATGTGAGTGAGTGGGATGAGAAGGTCAGCAGAATGTCACAGCAATGACACTGGGGATGACGTCCCATCACGTGGTAGAAATCCTGTGGCTCCTTCTGTACTTAGGCAGCTTGGCTGAAGTGGCAAATCAGGCAACTGTGGAGGTCCATTTTACC